CTAATTTGTTGGTGTACAATTGTTCATAGTATTCTCTTGTAATTCTATTTCTGTAAGGTTGGTAATGATGTCCCCACTTTCATTTCTGATTTGTTATTCATGTTTTCTTTTTTTCCCTTTGTCAGTCTCTATAGGTTTGTCCATTTTTAAAGAACCCACTTTTTGGCTTTATTGATCCTTTATTCTTTTCTATTCTGCATATCATTTGCCTCCACTTTAATCATTATTTCCTTTCTTCTACTAGCTTTGTGTAGTTTTTTCTAGTTCCCCATGGTATAAAGTTAGGTTATTGCTTTATCTTTCCTCGTTTTAAATGTAGGCATTCACATCTACACATTTCCTTCTGAACACTGCCCTCACAGCCTCCCATAAGTTATGTTGTCTTTTCATTTGAATTTGTAAGTATAGTTGACCTTTGAATAACACAGGGGTTATGGGTGCTGATACATCGCATAGTTGAAAACTCATGTATATCTTTAATTGGCCCTTCAAATGTGCAGATTCCTAACTGCAAATCGAAAATACAGTTGACCCCTGAACAACAAGGGTTTGAAATGTGCAGGTCCACTTATATGCAGATTTAAAAAATTTAATTTCTACTCATCTGTCTTTTAAGTTCACTGTCTTTATTTTGCTGTCTCCGATCTGCTGTTAATCCTATCCATTGAATTTTTCAATTATTTTTTGTTTTAGCATGTTTCTAACCTATAATTTCATTTCTCTGTAAAAATTCCTTATCTATTCACTCAGTAAGACCATGTTTTCCTGCAATCTTGGTTGGCTAATTCTAACATTTGGACCTCATTTCTATATATTGCTTTTTTCTTGACTATGGATCACATTTTCTTCTTGTTGTCATTGTTTTGTATGTCTAAATGTCTCCTTATTGAATATTGTGCATTATGAACAATACTCTGGAGTCTGTTATCTCTCCATGAAGTAAATGGATCCTTGTTTTAGCAGGCAATGTAATTACTGGCTAATGACCTTACACTTGCTTAGGCTTGATTTTGTTTTGTTTCTACAGATCTGGGGAAGGTCTAAAACGTTTCCCAAGCCCCAATGACTTGGTAAGACTCAACCTCCAAATTCTTTTCCTATGGATCTTGTCATTGTTTGATTTTAGGCTTTATTAAGACAGACCTAGAGTAGGTCTTACCCCAAGTTATAACCTTTCTGCTGTTTTCAGCTGGACGCCAAGGATGTTAAAGATGTGTTTACAAGATCTCTCCACTTTGACAGGGCCAGAACTCCCTTGGCAATGCTATTATTCCAAGACTGCTCTGCTCTAACTCTAGTATCTCTGTTCTAATCTTAACCCCATATAGTACCTGCTTTCTTGTAAGTCTCAGGTGATCTTACTCTGTGTATTTACAGCCAGAGAAACAGGGTCAATAGGGTGGATGGACACGGACACAAACACACACACACACACACACACACACACACACACACCTGTAATAATAATAATAATAATAATAATTATTATTATTAGGAATTGGCTCATGTAATTATGGAGTCTGAGAAGTCCCAAGATCTGTAGTCAGCAAGCTGGAGACCCAGGAAAGACAATAGTGTAATTCCAAGGTCAAAGGCCTAAAAAGCAGAAGAGCTAGTAGTGTGAGTTCCAGTCCAAGTCTGAAAGCAGTACACAAATGTCCCAGTTCAAAGACAGGCAGAAAGAATTGTTACTTAGCCTTTTTGTTCTCTTCAGGCCCTCGACAGATTGGTTGAGGCCCACCCACTGAGGAAAGGGCAATCTTCTTTACTGAGTCTACCAATCCCAGTGTTAATATCATCCAGAAACACTCTCATAGACATATCCCAAAATAATGTTTAACTAAATATCTGGGCATCCCATGGCCCAGTGAAGTTCAGGCATAAAATGAACCATCACACCATCCTTTACCCACAGATCTGTGGGGGACTCACACAGATTTCGAGAACTCCCTATCTTCATGGCGCCCTCCTTTCCCATGCTCTGCCCAATGGTTTCCAGCCATTTCAGCTGTTTTGAAGTCTGATCTCTGCTTCCTCAGCCCAGTAGGATCACCCTACTTTGTTCAGACTCTAGCTCTCTACATTACAGTTGGGAAATTGTCCCCAGGTAGAGGAGTGAGGTGATTTTGGGGGCTCACCCCATGAATTTCCTCTGAGGGATCAGTTGTGCTTCCTGTTATCCTCTGCCTGAAAGTAATTGCCTAATAATTTTTTTCCCACTTTTATAGTTGTTTATGGTAGGAGGACTAGTCTGGCATCACTTAATCATGGCTGAAAAGGTTGTTAGTTTTCATTTGCTTTTAGAGTATTTTGTTATATGAATTATACCTCTTTTCATCCATTCTTGTGCTGGTTGACATTAGATATTTAGGTGTGTTCAAATTGTCAGTAATACAAATGATGCTGTAATAACTATCTTTGTGCCCAGAAATGGAATTGCAGGGTTACAAAATATATATTTCTTCAACCTTATTAGATATTGCCAATTTGCTCTCCAAATTATACTGTTCTACATATCCACAAACAGCATGAGTTCCATTTATGCCACATCCTTGCCAAAATTTGATCTGTTGAACTATTAAATTTTCTACTTGTGAAAGTGAATGCAAAATGATATCTTGTTACCACAATAAACCTTTCCTAATCACTAGTGAGATTAAATACATATATATATATATGTGTGTGTGTGTGTGTATGTACATACCCATACATACCCATATATACATATACGTATTTATATATTTATTATTGGCTATTTGGGTTTCCTAGTTAGTAAATAGCATTTTTTATTACTTGTCCTTTTTTACAATTGGTTAATCTTTTTTTTTTTTAGTTTCAGGTGTACAAAACAGTGCAATAGTTATACTTTTTACCCCTCACAAAGTGACACCATCTCTTCCCCAATCCACCATCCCACTCCGCCCCCCAGACATCATACATATCTATTACAATTCCACTGACTCCACTCCCACATTATACTCTACATCTCGTGACTATATATGTATATATAAAATTATAGTTAACATAATATTATTCAACATCAGCTTCAGGTGTACAGTACAGTGGTCAAGCCTCTGCACTGTCCATGAAGTGGTCTCCCTAACAAGACATGTGACCATCTGACACCCTACAAAATATTTACATTATTAATTATATTCCATCTTTTTGTTCTTGATTCTTAGGAATTCCTTATAAATTCTAGTTACTAATCCTTTTTTGGTTATGTGAGTTAGATTTGTTTTCCCAACTGGCTTGTCTTTTAGCTGCTTATGAATATGTTGACTTCCTATACAGAAGTGTTAAATTTTAATGTAGTTATATTTGTCTATGTTTTACTAAATGATTTGTGCTTTCTGACCTCTAAACACAGGGGTGCCCCAAGGCTCAGGCGATGGAACTCTTTCTACATTAATTCCCAAGTAATCGTACTTAGTCTCACAGCATCTGTACACTGACATCTTTTACGTCTAGCTCCTCTGAACTCCAATAATATACGATAATTTCAAGGACCCTAGCTGAGTTAGACCTTTCTTCTTCCCTTATTATCCAAGTTTCTTGAATGGGAAGTCTACAGTCACTGTCTCCATTTCCTCATCTTCCATCCACAGTTTAACTTGCTGCAGCTTGGGCTATTGTCCCACTAGTCCACTGATACTGATGATTTTTTCTTCAGCAACACAGCCCATCCCCTTTTCTTTTCAAAGGAAGTCTTATGTGAAATAAGTTACAATATATTAAACAGATAGAAGCAGTATTGCCCTAGTAATGAGTTGGGGAGAAAAGGAACTGCTTTTCTCAGCTTTCCAATGCTCTAGAAGCATTTTTACTGAGCCCTGCTATCTTTCCAACCTCCCTATTTCCCCCCAAACATCCTAATCTCCAGCCATATTGAACTATTTGAAAATTCTTGTATCATACTCCTTCCCATCTCCTGTGCTTTTGTACAATGCTCCTTCACCTGCCTTGAGCCTGCTTTAACCAGTTCTCTCATCTCAAGGAGCACCTCCCAGCCCATCTTTCCCTTTATCATTCCTTCTCTTTTCATGCCTCTATCATCACACTTACCACACTGAATTGTAACTGTCTATTTACATATCTTTCTATCCTACTAAACTGAGGATTTCTAGAGATCAGAGAACCTGCCTTTCCTCCATGAAGGTCTTTAGTGTATATCAAAAACGGAATGAATAAATCAATGAATGAATGGCCGAGGAAGCTGAGCTAGACCCAAGTCTGAATTGGCAGACCACCAAGTTTGTTTCGTAAAACAGTTTTATTAAGATACAATTCACAGGGTTGTGAAGCACAATCTAATTCTAAAACATTTTTGTTCCCCCCAAAAGAAAACTCTACTCTTTAGCGGACACTCTCCATTCCCACCCCCCACCCCTCCACCCCGACCTAGACAACCACTAATCTTCTCAGATCAGCAAATTCAGCATAGGTAAATTGATCACAAATCCTCAAAATCGATCCTGGATCATGATGTGAAATTTGGTAGATAATTGTCCCACTTTATCAACTTGTATTGCAGAAACTTAAACTTAAATTGCAGCTCCAGGTTTGATCCACAATTTGATCGGGAATTTATTAGAACTAGATCCACATTTAACAGGGGTGGTTGGTTTGGGTTGGTCTTGCTTTTCACTGTTGTTTACGTAAACTCCCTTTAGTTGTCCATACTTTGGTAGAAAACAGGGTAACTGTAAAAACCTCATACATAACCTCTGGTAGCAATCACGGAAAGTGCCTGATAACAACCTCTTCTGGAGAGTTTAGTCCCCTAGAAGATACCATGGATTTAACATTACGTGAGTAGTCGCTTTCCGGAGCTATTATTTTTAACCCGATTCTTCACAGGCTCACCTCTGGATGGGTGTTGTGCGGGTGGAGACGCAGGAGGCCTCGAGAATCAGAACGCGGTTTCCAGCGAGACCGCATTTTAGCAATTGGGCCGCGGCTATTGCGTTGCGGAACAGCATTTCCCCTAGCTCGTCCGAGTCGCGGGAGCAGTGACGCAGCCAGCGCGCGGTGACGCCCGCGCGGCGCGGTGCACGCTGGGATATTTAAGTCTTCTCCGCGGCGCGGAGCCGCAATGTCTCCGGCGGCCGCGGTGCCTGGAGGAGGCGAGCGGCGGCGGCCGATAGCGAGTGTCAGGGACGGCCGGGGCCGGGGCTGGGGCTGCGGTGGGGCGGCGCTCCTCGGCCTATCGCTGCTCGGCCTCGTGCTGTACCTGGTCCCGGCGGCGGCTGCGCTGGCCTGGCTGGCCGTGGGGGCTACCGCGGCCTGGTGGGGAGTGAGCCACAAGCCCCGAGCTTCGCCCGCCTTCTCCTCGCTGGTTCGGAACGCGCGGCGTCAGCGAACGCTGCTGACCTCACCTCCGGCCAAGTCAACGGTAAACGGAAACCTCCTTGAGCCGCGGACCCTCCTGGAAGGACCCGACCATGCTGAACTGCTCCTAATGGGCAGTTACCTCGGCAAGCCCGGCCCTCCACCGCTTGCCGCGGCCCTGGAGGCCAGGAACCTGCGGGAGAGGCCTGGCCGCCACCCGCCGGCCCGCTCCTCGCCGCTGGCTCACTCGCCCCCGGCTCACTCGCCCCGTCGCGTTGACCACATTCACCCTTCTCTCCCTAACCCCCTTCTCCCACCCTCCAGGAGGCCCTCCCATAGGTAAGATATTCTCATCTTTCCCATCCCTCCTCTATCCACTGGCTTTGAATTGAGGACTTAACTTTTAAATCCGATTTTCTTTTTCATTAAGTCAAAAGTGGATTCTGTATTGTTTTGTCCTCTTTAAAACAACTTAGTGCGTGTCAACCTCCTGCACCCCCCTTTAACCTTTGGAATGAGATGTGGCTGTAGCTGTTCCCTTCCTTGCAATTCTTAAAATTGTCTGAATTTTAGTACAGTATAGATTTAGCAAAATATTCCTTAACACCAAAATATCCCTATTTCAGGCCATATAGTATGTTTTGTTATATTTTTTCTTTGAACCGATAAGAGAAATTCTGTCAGCTGAGTTCAAATAGGTGTTCCTAGGAAACACTTTGTCCATTGATAAAACTTGATTGATAAAATCAAATGAAAGAGACCTTTTTCATTTAGTCCCAGTGACAGAGATACCAGAAAGTACATAAATTTAGCGAATGTCTTAGGTTCTTGATAAGTACATTTAGTTGAGAAGATGAACATTTAGATGTTAAGAACGTTTGACTTTTGGCATATATTACTGATGACTTAGCATAAAAGATTGAAGGATTCTTGAAAAGTTCCTCCCTGCATGTCCTAACGCTCACTCTTCTTCCATCGTAGTTTTACTTGGTGTGGGCAAGGTTTTCAATTTCCCTCTCAAATTGTTGAAGCCCATTGTAGTGGCAGCTGTTAAGCAGCTGCTACTCTCTGCCCTTAAATGGAATGGGGGTAAAGTGCCATAAAAATACTGTGTTCTGTGTTGCTTAGAGCTTTAAGCTCTCTGGAAAATGTCTGAACTCACATGGTTCTTCAGTCAGTTAAATTTTCTGACATTCTTTGAAGCTTTTTTAGTTCCATAACATGTCTCCCATTCTCCACAGGGATTGTGGGACTTTATCAAATCGGTTTCTAATAACACCTCGAAGACGATATCCAATCCAGCAGGCCCAGTATTCCCTTCTGGGGGTACTTCCCACAGTGTGCTGGAATGGTTGTCACAAGAAGACTGTGCTATCTGCTCGTAATTCCAAAATGGTGTGCAGCCCAGTAACAGTGAGGATTGCTCCTCCCGATCGCAAATTGACTCATTTTCCAGTGTGAGTATTATTGTTTATTCTTCGATGGTCGTTCCTCTGACAAGAAAACTATAAAGCAAAAAAACAAAAAGTACCTGTACTTGCTTATTTAAATGAGAAATCCCAAGTTCTAGTTGTTGAACCGTTTTTTATTCTCTTGTTTTTTGCCTTAGACTGTAGCTTTAATTGCCAAGGGCATTTTCTATGAATGTATAAGTTACACTTTTGCTTGTTGACTAGCTTCTGATTTCTAGTGACTGAAGTCTGTGCTGTATGACGTGGTACTTAAAATATCTTAATGCTAGAATCTTGTCTTTCATTGCAGGCCAGAGCAGTTAATCAGCTCAACACTGTCCTCACCATCAAGTAATGCTCCAGACCCATGTGCAAAAGAGACTGTACTGAATGCCCTCAAAGAGAAGAAGAAAAGAACAGTGGAGGAGGAAGAACAAATATTCGCTGATGGCCAGGAAAATAAAAGAAGGTAACAGGCCTAGCAGAGTACTAAAAAAAAAAGCCTCCTATGTAGACTCCGGTAATTTGTTGAAATACAGCTTATTCTTATAAAGATATAGAGGCCAGCTCCAGTTTGTGAGCCTTAGTAGGTCTTTGGCTTTCATGGAAGAGCTTGGTAACAAGGGTTTTAATGCTATTCATCTCAGGCTAAGGCACAGGTTAGATAAATGTTATAATTTACCTTTTCCATAAGTACTAGAAATAAGCCAACAACTATTAGTCTTGTTGCCTCATACTTTTTATACAAATGTGTTAAATTCTGTTTTTGAGAGAATGCTCAAAGGCTTTCCCTCACAATTTTGTGTTGTTCAATTATTTAAACCACCAGTTTAAATGTCATAATTGGGCTGAGAGGGAATGCTTGGAAAAGAAAATAGAATATGGTAGTTTTATCAGTAACGAGAGTAAAACCAACTACATTCATTGGTTTTCAATAACTATATGAAAATGGAGCAAGGAGTCTGTTTCCTAAGCTTGGAAAGAGAGGAGGTTGAAGTCACTAATTAGAATGCAGAATTGCTTGTGATTTTCCAAGGAATCAGTTAAGGATTCCACTTATTTTTTAATACAACAAATTGAGCAACCACAATATGCCAGAGCCTATTCCAGGTACTGTGGATAGAGCAGTGAACAAGACAAAGTCCTCATGGGACTTATTTGAGGGGGAGAGACAAAAAAGGGTAGGGGATAATGAAATAAACAAGGTAATTATAGATGGTAAGTATATAGAGATTTAAAAACAGGGTGATATAACAGAGGGTAATGAGAAGGGGGCTTCTTTACATAAGTGGCCAAGGCAGGGCTCTCTGAGGAAACAGTACCCCACATTTAAAAATATAATCATAGGGGGCCGGCCAAGTGGCTCAGTTGGTTAAGAGTGCGAGCTCTGAGCAACAGGGTCACCGGTTCGATTCCCAAATGGGCCAGTGAGCTATACCCTAGCTGAGCTGCCAACAGGTGGCAGGATGACTCAGCTGGTGAGAGCATGTGCTCCTAACAACAAGGTTGCTGGTTCGACTTCCACATGGGATGGTGGGCTATGCCCACCCGCAACTAAGATTGAACATGGCACCTTGAGCTGTGCGGCTGCAAGCTGCCAACGGGCAGCCAGATGGCAACTGGACTTGGAGCTGCGCTAGCTGGACCCTCCACAACTAAGATTGAAGGACAACAACTTGGCTGTTCCCCTTCCCCAATTCCCCAACACTGTTCCCCTTCCCCAATTCCCCAATAAATCTTTTAAAAAAAAAAAAAAAAGGAAAGAAGAAAATATAACCATTGTTCCCATTACCTAGATCAGATTGTTCATATCTCACAGGTTCAGAGTTGACTATCTTTGATGCTGTAGATAACAAAATTAAGTAGGGAAGTACTAACTAATGCAAGTATATTTTTATAACATAGGAAGATCAGGTAATGATGACTAGAGATAGGATTTACAAATGAGTAACTTGAGCTAATATCAGCTAGCTAAGCAGCAGTAGCAGGAGGCAGAGGGTTGGAGATAGGAGAGGAAACAACTATTCTTATGGTCCAAAAGGTTTTTCATGTTCTTCAGGGTGGTAATTTTACTTAGCCCTAGTAAGCCTATAACTGAGGATTCTGTATTGTTCCCATAATTGGAATAAGCAGTGATTATGTACATCACACATAAGCCCTTCTTATATGTGAGATATAAAGTTTTCCCCTCACAGATTTGCCATATTAACCTCTAGAGCACTATGGGATGTGTGGATTAGTCCCTAAAGATTTTTTTGTTTCTAATATGTGGATGGTAGGGTGATAAATCTTTTATCATAATAATTAATACACCGGAATAGTTCCAACGGTCTTGAAGTAGAGTAAGTCATCACTTAACATCGTCGATAGATTCTTGGAAACTGACAGCATATAACGACAAAACCAATTTTCTGTTAGGCTAAGTGATATAAATAAGAGTTAAGTTCCTATGGCATCTCATCAACATTATAACAAAACAACGTTAAACAAAAAGATGTTATTTGAGGATCTGTATTTTCATACTTATTGCCAAAACAATCTTAGAATAAATTTTTCTTTTGGAATTTGGGATTTGAAGCAACCTTTTTCTTCTCTAGCATTAAACCTATGCTCCATAGAAATAGTAGAAAGTCCCAGGAATAAGAAAATATGCTTTAAGGAAGAAAAGTTATTTCATTTAATTGAGAGTTTTTTTATTTATCACAGGCGCCATGATAGCACTGGAAGTGGACATTCAGCATTTGAGCCCATGGTGGCCAATGGAGTTCCTGCTGCTTTTGTGCCTAAGTAAGTGAGAATCCATCTGGTTGACGTACATACCATTTAGTAAAAGGGCATTGTCAGAGTTATTGTCCTATAGATTTTCCTCTTTGCTTTTTGCATTGCTTTATTTGTTCAAGTTCAGATCTTTGAAATCAGAGAGGGACATTTTGAGTAACTTGCCACAGTAACTCTCTAACGAGCGATGTCTTGCAATACGAGTAGTTTGTTTCCGGAATGAATTACGCTCACAAACCAAGATATTACTGTATTTAGTAACCACGTATGTAAATAGAAAGATCACAAGGTTTACACAATGGATAAAAAGCAACAGTGTGAAATTTAAGATAAAAGTTAAATTTCTACATTTGAGAAGTAAATGGATGGGAGGAAAAGTGGCTCAGAAACATGTGGGAAAAGACTTAGGGTAGCTTACCTTCTTAATTTGAGCTAGCTGTATAATGTGGCTGCCAAAAAAGCTAATGTGCCCCTAGTCTGTGCTGATAGAAGAACAAAGACGAGAATGAGGTAGGTAAGCGGTAGTCCTGCTTTCCTTAATTCTGCTCAGATTGTCCATGGAGTGTTGTGTTTGGCTTGTGATTGTCCCAACACTGTAAGAGAGGATACACACAAACTAAAATTCATTCCAAGTGAATCAACTAAGATGTTAAGGGGTGGTGATGGTGGGTGAAGGGTTTTGAAGGTATACTACTCATAAGTACTAGCCCAGAGGAGAAAAATCTCAAGGGGAATAAGGAAATGAAGGCGGGCAGGATAATGATCTCCAAAAAAACTGAAGGCCTGTGGCGTGAAAAGGATAACAGCTTGCTTGGTACAGCTCCAAATAGGATCCATGAGTGAAAGTTAGAGAAACTGTTTTCATCCAATATAAGAATAAACTGGTCCACTTTTGACATTCATCACTCCAGGAGGTAGTTGTCTGTATGGTAACAGAGGTCAGATGACTATTCTACAGGAAGGATATATGGAGAATTTTTGTTTCAGTCGGAAGCTTAGAAAAAAATGATTCCTCTGAACTGATTTTATTTCACAGCTTTATTGAGGGTTAGTTGACATGTAATAAACTGTCTCTTTAAAGTGTATACAATTTGGGCCGGCCGAGTGGCTCAGTTGGTTAAGAGCTCGCTCAAGAGTTTGAGCTCTGAGCAACAGCGGTTCGAGTCCCGGCCCGAGCTGAGCAGCTGCTGAGCTGCCAACAGGTGGCAGGATGGCTCAGCTTAAAAAAAAAAAATGGATAAAGTGTATACAATTTGATAATTATTATTATTATTTTTTTAATTTTATTGGGGAATTGGGGGGATGGGAACAATGCTGGGGAATTGGGGTAAGGGGAACAGACAAGTTGCTGTCGTTTTGTTCTTCAGTCTAGTTGTGGAGGACGTTGCTTCACTGGCCCAAGTTGGCACCATCATTGCGCTCTTCCGGGCGAGGCAGATCAGTCGCCGGCTTCTGGACGGCCGCTCACTGCGGCTGCTGGCCGCTCACGCTGGCTGCTGGCTACACATGGTAGCCCATGGCAACCCACTGCCACAGGGGCTGCAGCCTACGCCCGTCGCCAGCGACTCACAGCAACCCAGCTCCAGGTTGAGCTGTTGTTCAGCATCTTAGCTGTGGAGGGCAGTGTCACTGGCCCTCATATGTGGGATCCGAACCGGGGCCCTCTGGCGTCCCAAGCCAGTTCTTAACCATCACGCCACTCGGCTGGCCCTGATAATTTTTGACATGTATATACCTGTGAAACCATTATCACAGTCAAGGTAATAAACATAACAGTCACCTCCAAAAGTTTCCTGTGTCCCTTCAATCTTGCCCCCACCCCCAGACATGCATGATCTGCTTTCTGTCACTATAGATTAGTATGCATTTTGTAGAGTATAACGTAAGTGGAATCATACATTTAATTTTTTAAATATTTGGCTTTTCCTTTTTTACTTTGTCAGGTATATTTAGTTGAATTGTTAACAATAAAATTAAGAGCATTATCCTTTTCTACTAAGTTTAAGAAAGATTTTGTGGCCATGGATAAAGCCTTAAAAGAATGTTGCCTTCAGTAGCACATCTAACTGTCTTTTTCTCTTTTATTAGGCCTGGGTCTCTGAAGAGAGGTCTCAATTCCCAGAGCTCAGATGACCACTTAAATAAGAGATCCCGCACCTCTTCTATGAGCTCCATGACCAGCACGTATACAGGTGGCATTCCTAGCTCCAGCCGCAATGCCATTACTAGTTCATACAGTTCTACTCGAGGTGTCTCTCAGGTACATTCTTCTTTTGGCATGAGCAAAATGGGTTCCTAGCATTAATTAATTGATTAGCCAGTGTTTACTAACCACCTCTATCTGTCAGGTATTGGGACTACCTCTAAACTAACAGAAGGTACAAATCCTTGAATGGTAACTATAGGCCAATGGAACAGAATAGAAAACGCATAAAGTAAACCAGTGTGTGTGTGTATGTGTGTGTGTGTGTATGGAAACCTTATACAAGACAGAACCATTATTGCAGATAAATGCACAAAGGATGAATAATTCAGTAAATGGTGTTAATTGAACAGAGAAGGTAGATTGAGTCTGGGTTATATTGGGTCATAAAAGCAATTTACCCTACAGGCATTGCAAATTTAGTGGGAGGTTTAGAAATAAGAAGTAATTGTAATTCTTTTTTAGAAAGAGGATGTCATATAACATAGAGAACAGAGCAGACTTTGCTACCAGACAAACTTGGGTTCAATTTTTTGGCTCTGACAGTTAGTAGCTATAGGGCCTTTGGCAGGTAAATCACTTAAGTCTTTCTCTCATCTCTGAAGGATTATTGTAAAGATTAAAGGTAATGTTTGAAAAGTGCCCTTTACAATGCCTGTCAATAAGTGGGTACCCAGTTACATAGTATTAGGGAAAAAAAGTGTGCGGAGGAAGATTTTAGAGGAGAGAGATTTTGAGATTTTGAAATTAAGCAGTCCAGAAGGCTCTCATAGTAATATAAATGCAAGATGATGGCCTAAGCCAGAGCAGTTGTGAGAATGCAAAGAACAGGGTAATAATAACCTTTACCTTGAGCACTTATTCTATGTTAGGCACTTTATGTACATTTCCTCATGTAATCATCACAACGAGCCTGTGAAGTAGACCCATTATTCCTGTTTTTTAAACCTTTTTGTTATGTCAAATTTCAAATGTACATACAAGGAAAGAAAATACAGTGATGAACCTCCATGTAGCATCAGTGGTTAACAGCATTTTGTCAGTCCTGTTCGATCAATAACCCCACATTTTTGGTTTTGTTCTTGTGTTTTAAAGTAAACTGCAAACATGTCATTTCACCTATAGAAGTACCTCAGTGTTTCTTTAAAGATTTTTTAACATTAATAGCCACTATACTATTATTCTTCTTCAACAACAATAATTATTTTGTATTAGTTAATATCACTTTATGTTCAAATTGCCCTTATTCCCACAAACTGTCTTTTCATTCATTTATTTATTTATTTAATTTTTTTGTTGAAGATTTTATTGGGGAATTGGGGGAGGGAAACAGACAAGCTGCTGTCCTTTGGTTCTTAGTCTAGTTGTGGAGGACATCGTTTCACTGGCTCATGTTGGTATTATGATGATTGCACTCTTCTCGGCTGAGGCAGTCGGTCGCCGCCATTGGATGGCTGCTCACAGCGGCTCATGGCGGCTCTTGCCAGCTGCCAGCCGCTCACAGTAGCTCACGGCAGCCCACTGCAACCCCACTGCAGCCCAGCTCCAAGTCGAGCTGTTGTTCACCATCTTAGCTGTAGAGGGCTCAGCGTCACTGTCCCATATGGGAACCGAACCGGTGGCCCTGCTGCTCAGAGCTCACTCTCCCAAGCCAACTCTTAACCAACTGAGCCACTTGGTTGGTCTTTTTAGTAAAGTTACTTTGTTTCAGGGACCAAAAATTAATTCATTACATTTGGTTCATATGTCTCTGAGGCTCTTTTAATCTATAATGCTATTGCTTCTCTTTATTTTGTGCTTTTGAAAAATCTGGGTTATTTTGTTCTCTAGGATTTCCCACATTCTGAATTTAGTTTGCATTGTCACAGTGTCATTTTAACACTTGCTGTATTCCCCTGTTTTTCCTGTAAACGGGTAGTTGGATCCTGAGGCTTGATTAGATTCAAGGTCAATTATTTTGGCAGATTATGGTGTAGGTGGTCATTTGTATTTCCTATCGCATTACATCAGGAGCACATGATGTCTGGTTGCCTCCCTTTTGTGATGTTAATATTGATCACTGGGTTCAAGTATTCTGATAGTCTCATACGTTCATATGTTCATTTTAATTTTCATATGAGCTTTTCATCTGAAGGTTTTAGCAGCCATTTATCATCTTTGCCTCGGTCCATTGTTTTATTAGGTTACAAAATGGTGACACTCTAATTCTGTCTTTCCCTCTACATTTATTAACCAAAATTCTATGTAGAAGAACATGCCCTAACTATAGGAATGACAGGATAAGAAGAAGACATTGATGCCATAGCTAACCCTAAAGGTGGCCAGTGAGGATTTTGCTGTTGTTGGTAATAATCTTTATGAACTTCTCAATTTTTATAAGCATTTTATGATCCTCAATACATTATAGTTATTCTTTTCAATGCACAGAATTTTCCAGCTTTGACCAGTGGGAGACCTTTCAAATTGGCTCTTGTATTCTTTTGTTTTGACCCCAGTGGTCTTTGATAGCTTCCTAGCTTTTTGGCCAAAAACAAATCCATCTTGTACATTTCCAACCCAGATTGAAGTTGGCTATTTCTTCAAATAGCCTTGGTTTCTTTTCAGTTGGAAATGATATTTATAGACTACAATCTAGATTCTAGGACAGTTAAAATACACATATCTTCTAGAAAAAGGACTCTAGGGGCAGCCTGTTAGCTCAGTTGGTTAGAGTGCAGTGCTCATAACACCAAGGTTGCCGGTTCAATCTCTACATGGGCCACGGAGCTGCACCTTCCACAACTAGATTGAAACAACTACTTGACTTGGAGCTGAAGGGTCCTGGAAAAAAACACTGTTTGCCAACCAAAAAACAAATAATAATAAAGGACTAAATTGTTAGTTTGTATCAATATTTCAAATTTAGGATTACAGAATATTTTACATAATTTCTTTGGTTTTATATTTTTATGTATTTTTACACAAAAAAGTTGGTTCATAATTACTTATTTAATTGATCTTAATATACACAATTTCAAAGTAACTATCAATGTCATTAACAGTAAGACTTACAAAATCAGTTTAAGAATTATTTATGATTCATTTTGTCATTAGTATATATTCCTCTATGGATACCGGGGATATAGAATCAAAACATATGTTTTGAAATAATGTGAAATGATTGTTCTCAGTTGGTTATACCACCAACTTGATACATACTGTTGACCCTTAAACAACATGGGGGTTAGGGATGCAGACCCCCACACAGTTGAAAATCCACATATAACTTTAGTTAACCCTCCATATCTGGATTGAAATTATACTACCTTCATTCCATAGTTGGTTGAATCCATGGATGCGAAACCACAAATACGGAGGGCCAGCTGTACTATATTTATTGAAAAAATAAGTAGACCCACACAGTTCAAACTGTATGTAGTAAGGCTAGTGGGAGTCAACTGTAGTATGGTTAATTTGTTAACTATGTTTTAATGTTTTAGGGATTTCTGTGTTTTTTATTTAGTTTGTTTCTAATTATGTAAAATACTTAAATTGTTCTGAAGAACATGTAATAGAGCAAGATACACTCAGAGAAGTCCAGTTTTCATCTGTTTCCGCTCTACATTTTCCCTTCCTCTCCATTTTTACTCTTTGTTTATCCTTTCGTTGTTTTTTTTTAACTGTGCAAATCAGTGTCTATCTGTATGTAAACCTCCACCTTCTAATATTTAAGGTAGTAACATATTACAAGTATGAGCCTTGCTTTTTTTCACTTATTCTGCACTAGAGGCCAATCCATAGCAGTATATAGACATTCATCTTTTTCTTTTTTTTAATAACTGCATAGTGACTCTTATTCTCTGTTGATAAACATTGGGTTGTTTCAGTCTTCTGCTATTACAGATAGTGCTGCAAATAATACTTTAGTTACTAAGTCATTTCATACTTTGGCCATTATACTTCTGGGATAGATTCCTAGAAAATAGGTTCCCCGGTTAGAGGTTAAATGTGTGGGTAATTCTGCTAGATATTGTTCATTTCCTCTCTTTAAGTGTGTACCATTTTAACATTCCTATCAGCTTTGTATGAGAGGGACCATTTCTCCAGTCTCACCAGCAGATTAGGTTGTCATAGTTTTGGGGTTTTACCAGTTTGATAGGTGAGGAATAGTATTTAATTTGTGTCTCTTTTGAATAAGTGTGAGCAGCTTTTTATATATTAGAGAAACATATTCCAAGCGAACTAAAGATGTAAATGTACAATAGAAACTGTAGAAGTATTTGCAAAAACAGGTTTCTCGTGCATTGCTGGTGGGAGTGTCAGTTGGTACAGTTCTCTAGGGGGCAGTGTGGCAGTAATTATCAGCATTGGAAATGCATGTGCCCTTTGATCCAGCAGGTCTGCTCAGAGACATACACAAGGATGTTGATTTTAGCATTATTTTAATACCAGAAGCTTGGAAACAACGTATATGTACCTTTTCAGGGAGCTGGTTGAATAACTAACTTACAGTAGTAATTTAAACATAAGTTTAAATACGGTGTAACTGTTAAAAAGAATAAGGCAGCTTACTAGGCACTCATGTGAATGATCTCAAAAACATAAAAAAAAAAGGTGCAGAACTCTGTGTATGTCCTTGATCATTTGTGCTACTGATTTCTTTAATCTTTTAATGTGCATAGAATAATTCTGACAGGATATATTAGAAATTGGTAATAACCTACTGAGATAGAATGGAAACTTTTTACTGTATACTCACTCTACTTGTTGGAATTTGTAACATGTGCTACAAGTATTATCTTTCCTGGTATCAAAAAAAAAATTTTAGGTGAAGTAAAATACCCCTGCCTTGGCTATACCCATCTCCATTTTATCTCCATGCCTATTATTAACATTCCTACTGTGTGAGCAAACACTGATAATATACAGAATTTTAAATTGGTTTACACAAATGAGATCATAGCATATGTGCTCTTTTGCATCTTTTTAAATCATTATTTATTGTATAACAGCCCATGTCATGTAATCTCTTTTTTAATGGCTTTTAAAAATTAGAGTATAATGTGCAGAAAAATATC